TGTCGAGTGTTTGCCCACCAAAGTATGACAGTGGAGCCATATTAAATACGGAGCTCTCCGTGCAATCCATTGCAATAAAGCCTCCTCCGCGTCCGAATGCATCGATACCTGTAAATTTGAAATCACCGAACGCTACCCCATAGCAAAACTGAATCTTAACACTGTTGTTGAACGTACGCGAGCCCCAACCACCTAGCGGAGTAATGAGAATTTTACGTGTCCGATCCTTCTTGCCAATATTTTTGATGAATGAAACCGATCGGGACCCAGTTCCAGAGCCGACAATGTTCCCAGCCTCAACAAATACCACAGCACCTTCCATCACTTGTTGGTCAGTGAAGTTATTCGCTGCCTCTTCGATCGCTGCAGCATTGAATGGAACGACTTTTTTATGTATTGAATCAAACAGGCGTGCTTCGGCAACTGTTGGCGTACGAGTAGGATAATGCTCGGTACTGAGACCGTAGAGAGTAACGGATCCAAAAACAGCAGCGAGAAGATGATAAGCACTTAACAATATGAGAAACACAACTTTCACTATTCTTTCAGTTTTCTCTTCAATAAATGCTCTCAGTCGCAATATCTTTTATACACGACGAAAAGAGGCTTTATGATTTTCTAATAAAATGAAATCAAATATTACATTAATTATATGTTTACCGAATAAAACGCGATATGACTTTGAATGCATATGCGACTTAAGCTTCCCTTTGAAAACAATCATAGTCTATTTCAAAATGAAAGATAGACTACTCTTTCTTGAAGACCTTCAGAATACAAAGAAACATTTTCAGCTAATCGATTTTATGAGTTTACCATCAGAAAAAAGGGTATATACTTATGACCATCTGTGTATTAAGATACAACTCAAGTGCATCATTTCTTCAACTATCACGATGACGACTTTAAAAAACTGACATCTCTCATAGTTAGAGAAGCCTGCTTTCGGCAAACAGTCTGTGACAATAGCTGTGAGTAGTTGGTTTGGGTGTGTGAGTGTGTATGTGTATGTATGGCAGTGATGAAACAGGGACCAGCACCCACACTCCGTTCTGAATATATTTTTCTTTTTATACTAACAAACTTCGTTCGTCAGCTGTGATACGTCAACAACCTATACTAAAAGAACGTTTTTCCGTGATTTTGTTTTTTTGTTCGATGACAAAATTGTGAAACGTGTAGTATTTGCAGGGGTGTCGCTAGCGGAAGGGGGACGGCGGGGAGACCCCCAATCTTTGAAAAGTTCAATCATTTTTGCAAAATTTTTCAAAAATTTCCGAAAGAGTCGTCGACCCCCTCCTCTATTTTTTTCCCTTCGTGACACCTCTGAGTATTTGCCTTTGTGAAATTATCTTGAAACTTTTTGTAATAACAACATCGAGCTGGAAGAATAAACGAAATTATGAATGGTAATCAAACTATAGTTATCATTGCTTTTAAACTTATATAAATCGCTTCCTATATAATGAAAAAAGTTGATCGTAATAGAAGCCCGGTGGGCTTCTATTCTGTGGGGAGGGTATTACAACTAGATTATCTTCGTTTTAAATGAATTCAATCCAGATTCTTTTCTTTCTGTCTCGATCAGTGTTCTTTTTTTTAAGACAAGCATTAGCTTTTACCGAGAGAAATAAACCAAGCAGATGATTTAGATAAACAGAAAAAGAAGAGAATAATATTTCAGTGAATGCTTGGGTATAAAAATATACTTGTTTTTAGATAAAAACTTATTCGGAATAAGAACTATGAATTTTGTGCTTCATTTATAGATAAAAATATAAACAGGTAATAATCTCGATTATTCGTTAAATAAATAATATAATATACTTTCAAATCATTTTTTTTAAATAAATTGTGCAATGAAACTTGAGAATAGCATAATGATATAAAACTTTAGCTAGGCTGGTACATTAATGTTTCGATACTATGAAAGTATCTCTAGATACTGTATTTCATTTTAATTTTATAGCGGTATATTTTTACTTTAATCACATTCATCACACAGCGTCTGCACCCTCACGCGATGTTGTACGTGTAAATTAAACCAATCAATGCAGAGTGAAATTGAAGGATCTGGATATGGGTGCGGGTATTGATGTTGTTCATTTCGTCACCCATGTCCTACACCCATACCCCAACTTGCTCTGGTTTAGAAGGAAGTGTTTCTCAAATTTTCTCCAACTTGAAAGAAAACTAGAGCTCAATTTTTCAAATCACTGATTCTATGACAAAGTTGAAACTTACTTGATATCATTGATATGTATTAGTAATAGCATTGGATCATGTACACACGTTACGAACTGAAAATATAATTGAGAAGTTATCGAGTTTGTCCAGAATGCGATACACAAGTTCAATGAGTAATTCCAGAAGAGATAAAGGAATCGTATCAGCCATAAATGGTTTTTTCTTTGGAGAAATATATTTTGTTACAATGAATGTCTGGTGAAACTGATTTTTTTTTATTTTGATGTATTAATTGAATATGTGTAACGAAGAGAAAGGAATAAAGTTTAATACGAACGATCCAATGAAAAGCAAGTTGATAAAGGTAGATGTCATGTTTTATATGCTTTCACCTGGATTTTATACGAAACTTTTAAGTTAGGTAATTCAGCGTCCCCGAGAGTTTTCATACTTTTTGAATATAATCAAGACCTTTTTCTAATTCTCTTTTATCTGTTTCATTTTAGCATTTTATATAAAATAAATGGTATTATGACTACCACCAATTATTCATGCTTTCTATAGCAGATGTTAAAGTTACTGATGCACTTTGATTCCAAAGGTCAGGTAATGGATAATTCGGAACGATAATATATCAAACAATTCAGAATTTTATTGTGATTCAGATGTACTCTCTTTAGTTCGAGATGAACTTTCCAACGATCTGACCGAAACAAAATATGTTTCAATAGTACTGACTTCTTTATTTTTCCTCTATTATTGGAGAGAACAACGAATGATGCTGTGTCAATAGAGATTTAGTCCTAGCTATTTGACTTCATCACTTGAAAAACTTAGAATTTTAAGATTGTCTCTTCCAGCTATAAGTTTGACTGTGAGTTCTGTACGTAGAGTGGAGGTTACTGCCTGGCTATGGTGCTATCTGTATGCGTGTGCCACTTGTCGAAAGAATCTCAGTTCGAAAGTAATTTGTTGATAATTACTTGGTTCTGCTGCAGTACTGATCGTTCAGATTGTTATTCTCGTTAAGCAACGATTACACTCGAATAGTACAGATTATCAGTTTAGTTTCAATATCCAAGTTACAGATATTAAGACATCCCTCTTTGGGAAAAAAAATTATCAAGATGTCTCCATTATACCTTACCTGAGATTTGTTATAGAGATTATTAACAACACAAGTATGTTATTAATGATGTTTCTGATAACGTCAGACAATATGCAATTTTGACAATGATTACGAGCAATAAACCATGAAAAAGAGATAAGAGCTGAAAGCTCATTATTAATAATTTATTTTCATTATCATCGTTTAACTTATAACTTTTTCAATTTTTTGCGAAAGGACTTCCATCTTTTCAGAAGACGGTGTGGGATGTGATGTGGGCATGAGAATAGATAAGAGTCACCACAACATCAACATTCACACCCACACAAGTCTTGCCAATAATTTTTTTTTAATGAAATTGATTATTTTAGTGTTAGAGAACTTAAGCAGAAGCAACGTGTTTTCTTATCGGTTATTGTATCTATGAAACCCTGTGATAGTTATTTTTTTTTGCTCTTAAAATTGATTCAAGATGTCACTAAAATACTTAGTGACAAAACTCCTAAAACCCAGGAGAAATCAGAAGAAAATATAAAAAGCCAGTTCTAGGTTCAAGGAGATTTTTTCACTAGGAGAGAAATCCGAAAAGTAGGGGTCTCCTAGCCACATCAGGAGATTCCGCAACGCTGCCCACACCCTACACTCAGAAAAATTGAAACCTTTCTATAAATGAATAATGGAGTGAATCATAGTTTTTTGTTATGAATATTACATATCATCACATTCTATAATGAAATATGTACTATGTATACAGCGGATTCAATAATAAGACTATAGAATCGTCAAAGACTATTCAGAATGTAATTTTGTGAAATAAATACATTTGGTTTTCATTTACTTGTGACCTTCTCTTGATAAAATTTTGAAAGAAACAACGAGATCAAACATTTTTTTTTATTTGAAATCAGTTGTATCCATTGATAAACATACGAAAAGTCAATATGATAAATCAGAATCGACACCAAACAATGATATATAGAGAAAAAAATGTCAACATTCTGATTAAGATTGATATTTAAGACTCATTTCATAGTATCAAATTTTTATTTTCTGCATTGTTCGACAATATAATTGGCTTAACTGATGTTAATTTATTCATGAGTTTGAGAAATAGTGCTGTCAAATTATTTAGTAAATTTTATTGGAAAGATAAAAACCATAATCATCATAGCTACTATCTTCTACTTTTTCATCTTCTCTCAACAAAGCTGTCATTTAAATCAATTCCTTACAAAAGTCTTTGCTTCTAAAATTGTTCTATTCAATTTCATATTCATGGTCATTTTATGTTTACATATCAAATAATCAGATGCTTTTTGTTCCGAAAATAATGTTACAATCATAATAATTGCATAAAAAAGATTTACGATTTATTTATATTACATGTGAAATTACAATTGATTTCAGAAATTTATAATTGAAAATCTTTAAAAACAATTGACAATTTGTACGTTATAAATTTCACTGAAGTTTTTGTTTTATTAGTTGTTTGTAATAGCTGTTGTTTGCTATCAGTTATACAGTTGTTGATTCAATCAATTTGACTGTTGTTTGTATCTAAGATCTGAATCGATAAACAACCAAATGTAGAAGCGATATGACTGTCCAAGACAATGATATGAGAACACATCCGGCAAATGGGTAACTCCAACTATAAAAAAAACATCAAACATGAATTCATAGAATAGAAACAAAAAAAAAAGAATCATATATACAGGATATATGAGTAGATATAACGACAATCAGTAACAATAAGAAACCAATTGAAATATATCGATGACGTACACATTGTTGTTAGACACAATTGACATGTATATCCAAAGAGAAGCAAACTCGATACGAGAAATTTGACCACGACAATAGACATGATGGAATCATATTCTTGTTGATAACCGAGAAGTAACCTGTATGATTTCAGGTTCAAAGCAGAAAAAAATAAAATTAAAAAACATATGTTACTTACCGAGTAAGATCCCATCTTAATATTGATACACCTAGTCGTCGAGCATAATGAACAATAAGTATCAAGAACAATATGACAAGACCAATTTCCCATAGAAGAATTTTATTATATAAAATAACAAGTATAAAATGAATACAAGTAAAAATTATTGATGAAAAGTAATGGTTACAGAAGAGAGAAGGATTATTAGACTGATAATATTGTTTGTATAACAGAATTGAATAACCAATAAGCGACATCACTAATAGAAACCAATGTAAAGACGAAATAAAAGTTAACGTTAGTTGCAATACCAAATGAAGTAAGACGAATGGTATATGAAGACGTTTTTTCAACATCTACAAATGATATTTAGTTCAGTCAGATTTCCTTCACTAATCTATATCATAGACATTTAATAAAACAGTGAAAAAAGATAGACTGAGATATTCTCTATATGATTGTATCAAATGTTTTTAATTATTCCATGAATGTTTTTAAGTCAAGAGAATCAATGGATATGTTTTAGAACTTTTGGGAAACATATGATATCTATCGAGCACAGAATCTCATCAAAAAAAAATGAGGAAATTTTCTGAAGACATTAAAAACACTCGACAAGTGTACAGAAATTAGCTTAGATGTGAACATTCCGAATTTCATGATTTCTATAAACTTGTCTATAAATGAAAATTTGAAAGAATCATTTGTCATCCAAACAAATGATTAAACCATTCAATTAGTAAACAATAATACTATGCAAATTTATCTTTTGTAGCTAATCAATTTTGATTGTAGATTATGTATTAATGACAATTATTTGAATCAGGCAACAATTAGTTGAAGAATAATTCATTCAATATAAATTTTCACTGTATGAGCTAATAAATGATGATTACTAATCAACACTTGCATATAGATATATAATTCAGTTGTGATTGCCGCGCATAATCAATATGTCCGATAAATCTATAAACGCATACTTTATCGATGAAGATTAATAGAAAAGTAAAAATTATCATCATAATCTATTTTATTTGACTTTAGGTAAATCTTCTAGCAAATGATCGATAGTTTTTGTAGCTAAACGTATAAAGTTGACTAAGATATGAGTGAACAATGAACGTGTCTCTATGCTCATGATTGAATAATCTAGTGTACTTAGTTGTCGAATGCCATCAGAAGAATAACGAAGCCATTTACTCAGTGTTTTAAATCTTAATTAGACAGAAATACACATTATTAATATTGAAAAACGAAAAATGAAATACCTATTAAATGAAGGTATTTGTTTTTCATAACGAATCATTTTATAACGGCCAACGTTATTAGGCGGTCGATTAACACCATAACCCACTTGACGCAATCTAACAAACTGGAAGGGAAGCACGACAATAAAAACAATAACTTACAAACCTGTAATTCATATCTAGAAACAACACAAATTAAATGTCATATTTCCTGTCTTCTGTGACACTCACCATCGTCTTCGCACTAATGTATTTGAAGAAGCAACAATGATTTGACGCATAAATTAGATAAAACACTTACTCCCCAACCCCAATATAAATTCGACCAACCATTTGCTTTAATGAATTGGTCTTTGGTCACAGCAAGAACGCCGCCGATTAAGTCATTATACATTAAGCTGAAAAGAAAGAAAGAAAGGTTATTGTATCTATTGGAGAGTTTAGTAACGAACTCAGTTAGCATTGATATTAAATCAACAAGTTATTTTAAAACACTGAACTTATTCAAAAAAAAATGCTTTTCAAATTTCAACAATCAATTTTATTGGTTGATACTGCGTTATACACATAATTCATTGATGTATTTAATATTTAATAGCCAAATATCATTTTATGCATATATTTCTCTCAAAAACAAGATATTAGATAGATAATTCTCGATGCCTAATAAACACGGTTAGGAGTGTTCAAGTGCAAAAATTACAGAGACTAAGCTTGCATAGATCGATACAGTTTGGTTTTCTTAGATGAACATCTATATATTCTAATTCGATCAACGAACTATCGAACAGAAATTAAGAAGTGTCAATCCTACTTAGCTCGATAAAATATTGCAACTAACATAATACATCTTTTAATTGTTGGAAGTCATAATTTAATATGTTTTAGAGTTCTTTGAAATGTAATCGCATCAATTGACTTCAAATAATTAGTTTAACTTACGAATAGCGTAATTCATTAACTGCCGGTGCTAGATGTCGTGGTCCATGTTGATCACATTCATATATATTATAGTCATTTTCTGGTATGAGATCACCATCATGAAATATGAAACAATTGAACATTGGTGCAAATATTTTTGATGCATAACTAAATGCTATGTTCATGATCAAACCTTTGTTAAAGGTATCATTGCCGAACTATACTTATCAAAAAAAAAGAATGTGATAGTTAATGTGAGAAAGAGATTAATAATATGAACCTGTTCAATAACAAATATTCGATAGGATCGTTTTTTGGCGTTGTAAAAATGGATGAAGATGACGTAAGAGTATTTTAAGTTGATATTCACGATTACGATATGGAATTATAATAGCAAGATGTTGTCGAGGTGTACAGTCACTTGGAGAGTAAATTCCACCTGAAAGTAAAGACAAAATATTTTCATCTGACAATATTTGAGATTTTATGTGTTTGAATTAAGAAGCGTCTAGAGTTGTCTATCAGAGCTAGAAAAAACTCGTTACGAATAATTTTCGAAAGATAACTCATTGTCTATAAGCAATTTTAATAGCTCTATTAAAAAAAATACATATGGCGACAGATGGACGTATTCATACGATATTTTTTTTTATTGATGTATACTGCCCTATTATTTTATTAAACTGACACAATGCTTCTGCTTATGGACTACGTTTTTTTTTGAGACCAATAATTCTGTTTCTTCTTATAAGTGAAAACGAAAACATTTGAAAAATAGATCTTTATAGGAAACTAATTACACACATTGATATAGAATTATTAAGAACTTTGAACAATTAAAAAATAATTCGTATTTCTTTTTAAACAATTATAAACTAGAAGTATGTCAATTTTCGTTGCATATATAAAACAAGTCAAAACATTCTCAATATATATATATCAATGCAAAACCAGTTGTTAGTCGTTGTAGCACGTGTTAAGCTGTTTGGAAACTTGTATTTGTTGAAAATTATTACAATGTACGGTCTCAATGGAGCTCACATTATCGCCTTTTCATGCTTCTTAGCGAATTTTTCTGGAACTGATCTGAGTGATAAGTTGATCTTAATAATCGCAATGTCGTTGTCAAATTTAAGTATTCAAATGTTTCAGCATACATTCAAATTAAAGTGTTTAAATAAAATATTTGCAAAGTGTTTTAAATACATTTAATATGTTGATATGTCAGTCGAACACTAGACAACTTCACTTGTTGAATTTTCGTTATACTACTTAAATAAATAGATTCAAACTTCTATCTTTTTACTTGATTATAGACGATAAAAAAAAGGAACAAAGTATTTGATTAAAATTCTAATATTAGTGACCTATCTTCACAGAATTGTGACGTTCATGATTGATACCGTCCTAATTATTTTGTTATGTTCTCATATGTATTATTGGAGTACATATATAGCAATCCTATTTTTGTTTACCTATTTGCACATGTTTGACACGCTGTTCGATATCTATCCATTCCATATCAGATGACATATCAACTAGTCCATTTCCTAAAACGGATAATAACAGTATATAATCGATGAAATAATAAATCACGTTTAATTCTATATGTACCTTGAAGAGTGTGTGGATAGAGTGGGCATAATTGAGGGTTTTCTTTCTCATTATCTTCCATCATGTATTGATTAGCTGTTCTTTCATAATGGTCGTTACAAAAATGAATAATACAAATAACTGTGATTACAAGAATGATCACTGGTAAATATTCATTATGTTTTAGTCGAAGAATTATTCTATGATTGATCATCGATCTGCTATTACACAAGAATAGACTATTTGAACTCAAGGTCTCAACGATTAATACTGAATAGCATTAAGTCAGCATATGGAAATAGTAAGACTGCACATAACAATATAAATATATTTTAAAAAGAAAAGGGATGACATATTTTTCAAAATAGCTTTTTTTTTCGCTTTTTTCTATCTTTACTTTCGTGCATCGATATGTGCCAGTCTTTTTTTGCCATTTGTTCTTTTACTAATGATCAATGTGATTCATTGAAATCTCAAGACAAAATCGATTATAATCCAAAAGATCTAATTTTTATCGATTATTCCTATTATTTTCGATTATAATCGATTGACAATTGTGAAAAAAAATTGATTTTAATCGATGCAAATCTAAGAGAAATTGATTAGAGATTTTGTCATTTATTCTGAAGGAAAATGTGAGTGTGGGTGTGAATGTGACTAAAAGAAAACAACATGAGCAATCACATTCTGCAGTTAAACCCACACCCATAATCCCATCCGATTCGGAATCCTAATTTTGATCAATTTTTTTGTTTTGTTTCCAAAACAATTATTTGCTTTTGCAAAGTTTTTTTTTTTGTTTTGAAAAAACTGCCTTTCTATTAACATCAATATTGAATAAATATTCGTATGCAATTTGAACATAATGGACTGTACTATTAGTTTAAAGCATCTGCTACTTGCTTTTGAAAATTCCATTTAAATTATGAATACCCAGGTTGAACAATCTGATTATAAAATCTTGTACGATTCTCAAAGATCATATCGGAATTTACATACCATATATTTTGTTCGCTCCATATGGTACAGCTTCTGAAAAAGTACCACAAGATATTGAGTGTGGGTGTAGGTGAGAGAGTGCGGGTATCCTTTCCTTTCACACCCACACCCTGTCGAGAACTTCGGTTGGCTCCACAAACGCTGCAACACTGAAAAGATTACACTTATTTCGATTCAAAAGATACATTTGATCACTAGTCATATAGATACAAGAATTTTGACAAAAAAGTCCATTTTTAGTAGTAGATAACAGACAAAATGTATAAACAATAAAAGAATTGAACATTAAAAGTGAAACAATGATGAAACATTGAATCTATATTTTTCGATTTCTATTATTCTCTATTTTTGTATAATAATGACTGTGAAAGTCGAAGTTTATATTGAAAAATACCTCACTCGATCATCATTTCGTTGCCAATATTCAAGTCTATTTTTGTCAAGCACACTCTATAATCTATTCTGATATAATCAATCATTTATGACATAGTATTGTTTGAAATAGATTGCGTTTCTCTTGACGAAGTACATTAATCCATTTCGAACACGATTGAAGCCATGATAAATGACCGTATTCTTCTTTTGATTTAATATTTGAACAATCGACAATGAAATTGGTAGACAATTTGAGGCGAATAATAACATCAAGCAGTTCCATTTCATGTCGATCTAATCGAATCAGGTTTTGATATAATGCAAGAAATGTATTCAATCTTTTATTATCGTCAATACCATTAGTGAGCAACAGAAAGAGAGCTGTAGCCAAGTCAACAATCAAAGGAGCCTAGCAGACTTCACCAAAATCAATTACGTAGATTTGACGATCACTATCAGTACAGAGTGTATTACTCGGTTGAAAATCATTATGAATTAAACCTTGTTCTAATTGATTGGTTTTTCCGTCCAATCTCTCTCAACATTCCAATGTATGAAACGAAAATAGTCGATATCAATTTCACCGAGATGTTTACATAGAGAAAGACGATCAAAATGTTCTATCCACCATTGATCTGTTAATTCTCATTTCTTTATTTTCGTGAAAGGTACTATGAACATGAAAGCGCGTGATGCTAGACGCCATTGTCCGAGCAAGTTGCCCATTTTCATTAAATAAGATTCGTCAGGTTCGATCAAAGATGGTACATGACCATCAAGAAATGTTTGTATGAAAAGATAATGATCATTGTCGATTTGAATAATAAGTTTCGAGCTCAATGTCGAAACAATCAGTGAACATGGATAATTTAGATTCGAATAAAGATAATTTTGAAAGTTGAGAATGGTTTTCAGATGATCGACATTGACTCGATAATCAATTGTTTTCATCACATATTTTCTATTTAATTTGAGACAAACTAACCAAGTTTCTTCTTCATGATAGTCACCTGGTAAAGTATTAACAGATATGATATTATCAAAGCTATATTCATTTTGAAGTATGTCATGAAACTTAAATTTGGAAACCGCGGAATTTATCGTTGATTTTTTATTAACTAATTATAAAACGATAATCATTCTTATGTGAGATAGAAATCCTCAATTATTGACACACTTAAGATGCACTTATCGAAAGATTCACACGTCTTGTTTACTAGAAAAATAAAACAAAAAAACATTTAATGTCATAAGCGTCACTCTCATTACCAAAAAAGAGCATATTGTTGCAAAAGCATTCATCCTTTTATCTTATCAGTTTATATGAAATTTAGTTGAGAGAGAACAACTTCTTACCTTTTATCATGCATGAAGCAAAACTGACCTCTTTAACGGCAGTATTAATACACAAAAATATATAACACTTGAAGAGTGCGAGGTGTGGGTGTGGGTGTCAATGAAATGAAATTCACACTCATACTCACCGTTAACATAACTTCAGGATAAAAAAAATGTCAAGCGCTTCAAGTCATTTTCGTTTTAATCTTGCGTTTTCTTTCTTTCGTTTCATTTTCTTGATATAACGTAAAAGTGAGACTAGCAGGTGACCAAAAAGAAGATTTTTTTGCCTCAGAAGGTGAAACACGAAGAAAAAAATATTTTGACTTTATGAAGCAATACATATCCTTCATATGCCGCAGTGCGAATAACAAAGTAATAGATACAGATTTGTTCCTGTCTATCATAGTATCTTGCAGTCATATTTGAGGATGTGAGTGAGTTCACATTGGCCTTCGTTAGACCGGATTGGGTACGACTTGAATCTTGACAAATGTTCATTGTCTTACAGAGTTACTTTTTCTAATGCAATTAACCGATTTCTAAGTATTTTTTCAAGATTGATTTCAAAACCAATGTGCCACAAAGTGATCGATTCTGAAACGCTTTCACAATTTATTCTTCGTCTCTGCGATATGAATAAATCCATAGTAATTTTAATAGATCACGATACTAGCATACTTCAAAATAGCTAAAAATTTTCAGGTAATATTATGACATTGTATGCAAGAATAATAAATTCTGAAATCATTATAAAACCAATATATTCCATAAATGTCATTTTCGTTCCTGTTCTGTCGCTTTATGAAAATTTTAAATTTTTACTGAACTATCATATTGAAAAGAAATAAATATTTCAGTATAAATAAATGATTAAGACTTTTGGGTTTAATTGCATCAAATGTGGTCGGATGCAAATCATGCTTTGTCTGAGTGGTTTGGATCCCGATTGAGCTAGAGAATACCAGGTGAGGCGTCAGTTAGAAAAGTTGAATCTGTGCAGACACAAATCTTTTAACGCTTTATGTATTTTAAAAAGATATAATAGCTAAGATGACATTGAATTCAATATCTTTTCGGGATGCAATTGCTCTTATCACAGGAGGCAATAAGGTAAGCATATCATGCGAAGAAAATATTGATGATTTTTCTGATACTACTATAGGGTATTGGATTTGAGACTGCTCGTCAACTCGGCGAACAAGATCTTACAGTTCTCATTGCAGCTCGAGATAAAACACGAGGCGAAGAAGCAGTTCGAATGTTGGAAAATGAGAATATTCAGGCCAAATGGGTTGAACTTGATGTAACAAGACAAGAAACAATCGACAATGCAGCTCAACAAGTTTTTAACGACTATGGTCGGCTCGATATTTTAATCAATAATGCAGGCATTCGTTTGGAAGGTGAACCTCCGAGCCAAACTCTTATGACTAAAATGCGTGAAACATTCGAAACAAACTTTTTCGGTCCTTTTGCCGTGACGAAAGCATTCCTTCCTTTGTTACAAAACTCCAATAAAGCGCGAATTGTCAATGTGTCAAGTCGAATGGCTTCCTTTGGAAAGCCACTACCAGTTCCTAGTCGACTAGCTTATGCAACGTCTAAAACAGCTCTCAACATGATGACCGTTCAATTCGACAGAGAATTTCGTACACAGAAGTGGAATATTAAAATCAATAGTGTTAATCCAGGTAAGTGATAACTTGGCATCTTCAAAAAAAAACGAAAGCCAACTTTTTTTTGACGTTTATTTCTCAGGATTGGCAAAGACCGACATGAATAATAATAACGAAGCCTATCCTCCACCAAGCAAAGCTGCTCAAGCTATTGTTCATTTTGCAACATTGCCTGACGATGGTCCATCTGGAGCATTCTTTGATTCAGAAAAAAACGAAATGCCATGGTAGAACAATCGAAGAGTAACATTTTTTAAGATAACTTAACTTGATCACTTACTCCCATTTTCCCATTTAAACATTTGCATACAATAAAGATTTCACAAAAAACATCGATCCTAGTAAAATTTGTAAGGTCTTACTATAAATCTTATGAAAACCATTTTCAATTCCTCTGGCAGGTTATAAACGCGGAAAATGTAAGATTCTAATCGACCATATGTTATGTTCCATTATATGACACCATGGATTAAATCTATCGTAGAAATGACATATCTTTGTACCATAGTTAATTATATATTTATTTTTTTCTTCACTTCTCATTTTGTTCTACTGCGAGTATACTTGCATTCTTTTATCAATACTTTTATCCATTCCACTCGTTTATTCATAGGCGTAAGTCTTTCTTTTTTCTGTTTAAAGTAGTTCTCCCTAAAGGCTCCGAAGAATGATGGAGAGTCGATCATGTATGATGCTAAGACGGGCAAATATGTAGATCATTATCAAAGATAATTTTACATGAACACTTGTAGAGAGAGAGAAAAGAAAAATAAGAGTACATACTCCAACGTTTAACGACAAAGAAGTATACAGTAGTATGAACAGAGAGGGATAGAGAGATTCATCAATCTTTCACATATGGGTAAGGAAAAAGTTGAGGATAAAGTGACAGATGTGAGTGTTTGACTTCAAGAAACAGTCATATTGCTTGGTATGGACATTGTCAAACTCTATCCAATCTATAATGCAGTGCTTGGCTTGCTCGCACAATCTAAGGGGAGTATACTGTTGGACCTAAAGCCCATAGATTTGAACCACTTCCTACGCGGAAAGGTTATGATCAAGTAGGCTAATCATGTTAGTTGAAAAGCAGTAGCTTCGTCAGCAATGAGTAGGTGGTGGATCAAGCGGCGCTAGTATCTATAGAGGTAGTCATAGATCGTCTTCCTTCTAGAAATAACCAACATCGTAAAGTCGTCCCACCGATATAACTAATCTCTTCATTGGTTATTCGAAGTTCGATAAGTGTTATCAAAAAAATTAGAAGGGTGACGATGTATGATATGGCTGTGACTGTAAGTATTTATCATCTCTTCATTCATAGCCGCACCCATATCCCTACCCACACTCTCGAAGTCGGAATCCGGTTGCAGAATTCGATGCAATTCACTATAATGTACAGTTAAAATTGATGATTTGTTGTTAAAATATTGACAGAAAATCCCTTAGGCAGAGACACAAATCGTAACAGATTGATAAAAGCATTGTTCTTTTTATTGAAAGAATTTTGAAAAGAGAAAAAAATGTTTTATACTTGCATTTTCGAAAATATTTTTAATCAATAAAGAAGAGTATGAAATAGTAGAAAAATTCCAAAAAATCACTATCTTGCAATTGTGAGTCTCTAGACAACTTATTTCATTTTTCCTGCTAAACACGATGAAAACGTTTTATCAACTGACTTTTTTCGAATTCACAGTATTTTTTTGATTGCACAGCTCATTCGGTTTTTTCCTTCAAAAGTAGAACTGAACCGAATAAAAAGTTAATCGTCGTTGATAAAATGGAATAAAGATGCCAAAAGAATGTTGTTGTTCCTTTCATGGTATAATTTTCTATGTATGAGTCAAAAAACATATAATAATGAACACACCATACATACCTCTCCTGTATAAAATACTTACAAAAAATAAAAGAAAAAATTCATTCTTTCGATCGCTAATACAGTGTGAGCAGTCACTAAATTTAAAGTATTACCTAATGAAATATTTGTTGAATGTTTCGAATATTTCAATGTTTGAGATATCTTTTATTCATTTTATTGTTTAAATTATCATTTTGATAAACTTATTCAAAGTATGCCTTTACAACTCAATTTCGAACAAGTTCGAGAAACAATATTTGATCAATTTAAAAGACAAATTGATTCTCTGAGATTATCAAATGAAGATATGTTTGGTCAAATTGAAGCATTTTCTTTCATTCTTTTCTCTTAATGAATTTACTTCACTTCGATTGTTGACTTTGATTGAAGTTAATAAGAATAATTTCGATAGATTAAAATCCATGTTACCGTTGTAACCTGAACTATGTTCCATACATTTAATGAATCCAGATGCGGAAATTAAGGGAGAACCTATCTCTACAATATATGTGTAGGATTCCAACACCATGAGAAACATTGGTTTGTCATTTGCTACTTATTGTTGAAATTTCGTCAATTACAAATTTAACGTTGTTTTTTATTATACATATGCAGCAATTTAAGTCCATTATTGGAATATTTACCAATACTAAAATTTCTTAATGTTTGACAAATTTACGATCGTTACTCTTGGACGAACTGTTGCACACGTTTTGGTAACCCTCGTGCTATTCATCTAAAACAATTGATTATGACAGATTTTTTAGAGAAACTCAAAAACTCTAAAATGCTTGTGAAGCAAACACCGAATCTTAAAAGTCTAATGATATCTTTTAAGACAGGAGATATAATTAATGCTCCTGGTTGAAAAGATTTGATTACATCTTCACTGTCTCAATTGGTTGATTTCAAGTTTGATTTCAGTTACTTTTTTCAGCATACGAAAAGCATAGTATTCTGGATAAGTGGAGAACATTTCAAAGTGGTTTTTGGTGAGAACAGCATCATTGGTATCGGAATATTCATATGATTTTTATCGAACAATCATTTATGCAATAACTCATATGACAAATGCTACAGATGATTATTATTTACCGAAGAAATCGAAGCCATTCGATAATATAACAGATTTAACTGTGTATCTTCAGGATATGAGAAAAAAAATTTCACCATCATTGGACAAATGTCAAAATACTCTTACTAATGTCCATTTCAAAGATAATTGATCGTGGGAATTTTTTGAATAAATTTTCATAGAAACGAGATAGAGACCTGCGATTTTCACCGTTGGAAAGAGGAAATGAAGACGCCTCGAATCATATATATATAGAAAGATTTTTCTAACTATTTTCCTAAATGTTTTACATAAAACTTCAAAAAAAACAGCAGATCTTTCATGGTGGCAATATTAATTTATTGATTTTCAGAAGTGCGTGAGAAATGTCAAACAAACAGCTACAAAACCATATCAAGATTCTATTCCTAACAACTATTTGTAAGACATCCAAACCATGCAAGACATAATGTATTACCTCATTTTTTTCAATAAAATAATCGAAAAACGTAAGCTTTTCAAATATCATAATAGAAAAATCTCTTTTTCAACGTAGAAGAAAAGAGCAATTCTTTCAAAACGTTTGACTAAAACCTTTAGAAAACTAGTTGGAAAAAATCTTTCTATATATGGTTTGATGCGTCTTGATCTCTTCTTTCCAACAGTGAAAACCAAAGGTCTCTATCTCGTTCCTATGAAAAGTTATTCAAAACATTTCCACGGCCGCTTATCTCTGAAATGGACATTAAATACACATTTTTCGCGAAAGCACAATAACAATGCGTTATGATGAAGCGAACACTTTCAGTGTCTGAAAACAATTATTAATTGATCTAATCTAAAGGATCTCACGCTCTCAGAAGCATCTGCGATAGATATATCATTTTTGTTATTGGAAAAATTAAGACAAACATCAGATTTGACATTATTAGAGATTCATCCGGACATTTTAGCATTGTTGCTTAGCAAAGACGAATTATGCAAATATTTTAGTAAGATTATTAAAAAACTAGATTTATGTGACTACCCCATTTTATTCATTAATGATAATGTGACAGAAACATGCTGTAAAATATTATCAAATATTGAACAACTTCCATGCGCCATGAAAAAAACATGTTATTTAATACTATTATTGAAACGAGTATCAAAATTATTAATGATGATTATTTCATTTGATCATTCTGAGAGTCTAGTAGATTTGTCATTATTCGAAGAAGAAGCACGGAAATTAAACATGCTGTTTAGTGTTAAATGCATCGAACACGAAGACGGCCTGTAGACTTTCTATAGGACCAAGTTAACTATTTGAATCGATAACAATAATTAAATTGTACACTACATGTACTACATTGCGAACTTTATTTTAAAATAAACAATGCTCTGGAAGATATATAGGATTGACCAAAATTAAAAGAGCAGAGAATATTCCAGTTTTGTGATCTTATTGTCTACCTTTTCCTTTACATCTTGAATTACTCTTTCTGTTCATACGTATGCATTAAATTGTGCTGTGTCTGAATATAAATTCAGAATTTTCCTATTGATGTTGATTTCCTTATAAAAATAGCTGTATTAAAAAAGGATGATTTTTTCGTGCCCAAAATTACACTCGACAATTTGTTTTTCATAATCTTCTTGATTCCCATTAAAGCTAGAACTTTCTTTACGATATTTCATTTGAAAGAGTTAAGTGTGCTCTGCATGATGAACTACTTCTCGTAACAATTGTTACTAGCAAAAAATTCGACTTTGAGTGATTTCAACAGCATACTGAAAATTTCGGCGAATTGCATTTTTTTTCTATTTGATTTTCGGTCGATTTCAATTTTAAATTCACCATTAGAAACAGCACTTGAAACTACACGAGACACACTTGTAATAATTAATTTCTCGTAAAAAGTTAAGCAGGTCAATTTTCATATCCTGAGGGCGTGAGAGTGGGTAGATGTGGCTGTGGCTATGAGTGTTTATCGTCTTTTCATATGTAACCATACTCATATCCACAGCCATACTCGCACTCACCCCACCACACACCCATACCCACACCCTTTTTCGAAGTTTCTCGGAGAATGATGGTGTGTATGTCGGTGTTGGTATCTGTGTGGATGTACATAATGAGAACAGCCACATACCGACATTCATTCTCTCGATATCAGTTATGAAATCTTTCAACCTCATCAAAACCAAATAAACAAGCGATCAAATCATTTGAAATTTTTGTTGTTTCATTCTAAAAATCGATACATAACATTTTTACGCTGCAGTCATTGACTTTTTCATCAAATAAGGCTTTCTATGCCTATTGAATTACTGCAGAAGTATGTAGTAAAGGAGGAAAGTCGAGACGAGGCGACGAAATCTTTCCTCGTTTCGTGCTTGCTGTCGTTAAGTACTTATGAGGAGCTCAAAGATATCTCTTTTTTTGTTGAAGTGTATATAGAGTATCAGTGAGCTCTATACTTCGGTATCGAAGCGTAAGAAGCTAGTTCAGACATTGGATAAAAAAATTCTAACATGGATTAATATAGGGTTCGAAAAGAGACACTGATACTTCATGCAAGTTAGAGATCATTGATGTAATGATAGATTTACCCTAATATCAACGAACTTTTATGTTGACAATACCTTGTCTTGTGAGTTTAACGGAGGTCATATGCCATCTTGTGTCAAATTGACTAATGACAAAACAGCAGGTATATCTGCATGTTTTAATAAATACACGAGATTTGTGCTCAAAGGATAGTATTTAGAGAAAATATTCATCATATCAAAGATCCAATACTGTTTTATGCTGTTAATACGTTTGAACTATCATTTAGATGTGTACTCTTGAAAATTTTTGTCAACTGTTCATGAAGATGTGCTGTGAGTATCTCATGCATTATTCAGTTTGTCGAAGTTCCTATTGATGAATAATACAACTCAGCACTATTTATAGCATGAATATCATTAAATCCACCAATAACTAATACTCTTCCATCTGTTAATATGGATGCTACATGAAAATCTCGTGGACTACGCATGCTATCACCAACTTCCCAAGTTCCTGTTGTTGGATCATATAACTCAGTGCTATTTGTAGCAGTAGTACCATCCGATCCGCCAGTAACTAACACTTTTCCATTTGTTAACAACGTTGCTTGA